GGTCTCTGCCCTCCAGCACTTGGTGCTCATCCATCAGTGTGTCATTATTCTCTTCCCGTTCAAGGAAAAGAGTTCAAGAGCCTTGGGCTTTGTGAAATCTCAAAGAAACCCGAGGTGTCACTAAAATTAGAAATTAAAATGTTGTGCTGAGCAGCGGGATGGGCGCCGTCTGGCAGCACTAGCTTCCAGGGCTGCCGGGGGACCGCTTCATCTTTCCAGCGGAAAAAAGCGGAACAACCCCAAGAAGAGATGCTGCTGGAGGATGGTGGGGTCCCCGGAAACTCGGGGGGCGTTGGCTCAGCAGTTATGCTGGGGCTTAGGAGATAAAGGCGGGCAGGAATATGGAATGATGTCAACTACACAGAAACCACTAATTCTGAGAGAGACAGACAGAGGGGCCGTTGCTCCTCGTTAAGCATCTCTGCCCCCTGCCAGCTACCAGCATCCACATTTTCCAGATCAGAGATGGAATCCAGGCCAAAGGAACAGTCAGGCATAACGCCGCCTTTTCTATAGACAGAAACATGGACTCTCAAAAGCAGCATCCCGACAGGTTTATATTCTTTCCCGCACCTCCTCTCCCTCTCTCCCCCGCACCTCCTCTCCCAAACAGGCAAGAGGAGGGCTGAGGACAGGATCCAGAATGTCAATTACCAACTTAGGGAATTTTGCCATCTGGAGACAACCTTTTAAAGCCCCATAAAACTCAATCCTTACTGACGCTCAGGCGAGCTGCCTCTGGAAAAGACTCCCCCGACCCTGAGCAGGCTATTTCTAACCCGCGTTCTAGCCCTCTGTGGGGAACCCGCTGTGATGTGGGGCTGGGGCTAGCTCCCCAGTCCTCTGAGGCAGCGACTCGCGGAGAGGGGGTGACTGGCGGCTGGAAACGGGTTTAACGGGACGAATGGCAGCTTGGTCAAACTGAAGGCCAGTCACTGTTTATCACAGCAGGCGGGATGCGGGGTGCGGGGTGCGAGGTGCGGGGTGCAGGGTGCGGGGCCTGCGGGGCCTGGGCTGAGTTTCCCTCCCAGGGACACGTACACGGAATGGCCAGGGTGCAGAGCACCGGAAAAAGAGCGAGGAATAACTGGTGGTTTGCTGGCCCTCAGGATTAGTCATATATTTGGTGGAACCATAGGGAATTCCAGTTTTTATGATTAAAAAATGGTTAAATATCAGCAGTATCATTCGGTGTAACCTGTTGGTTGAATATGGCTCAGAAGACACTTGCGTTTGGGTGTCCTCTTTGCTCTAAAGACTTTCTATTGCGCAGGCAGTAACGCCCATTTAACAGGGGCCATTGAAGCCCAGACCAGTCACAGAGCAAACCTGGAAGAGCCGGGGAACTGGAATTCTCACTGGGCGTTTCCATCCTCCCCACGCGTCTCCTTGGAACCCTGGCCTGGAGGGACACGGATGGCACTGAGCGGGAAGACCGTGCGGGTGATCCTAGAGCCAAACCCAGTGCCAGGGTCTCTCTGCTGCAGGATTTGGAGCCCGGGATATGCAAACCCCCAAAGGGGAGCTGGCGTTTACACAGCATCTCCCAAGTGCACTTGACCTCGGCTTGCTTCTCGCCTTATTCCTCACACTTTAATGTGCTCACACCACCCGGGGACCCCATGAGACTGTGGGTTCCGCCTCAGTGCTTCTAACGAGCACGCCACGATGGTGACCCTGCCGGTGCGGGTCCACGGACCACACTGTGGGTAGCTGCGCTCGAAGGGGCCCAGCGTCTCCCAGGGCCCAGGCCCAGGCGTGCGGGTGGGCCCAGCTCTGAACACGGAGAGGGCGGTGCCTCAGCCTCACCTCCATGAACTCCGCGCTGGAGCCCACGTGCTGCCGGAAGCAGAGCAGGAAGCTCTCCTCGGTGGGCAGGATCTGCGCCAGCTGCGGGTCAGAGAGCGACAGCACCGTTAGGGAGGGCCCTGCCCGGGAGCAGAGCAGGCGTCCCCTGAGGAAGAATGGGAAATGGCCAGGGGCGAGGCAGCAGGGGAGTCACATTTTGCTTCCTTCCTGAGAGCAGCCTGTGGAAGGGGCGGACGGATGTTCGGAGAAGTGCGTCTTTGTCGCCCCAGCTGGAGGGACAGAAAGTGGTGCCAAGGACCCAGACTCAAAGGCGTACTGAATAGATGGTTCCATACACGTAACTTCCTAGGATATGCAAGGTGAGCTGATGGCCCGCGCCAGGCGAAGGCACCTTTGGGGGGTGAGAGAAATGCTGAATCTCGATCTGGTGGTGATTACATGCCTGCCTACAACGGTGTGAACTCACGGAATTTGACACTTCAAGTCGATGAAGTTTATTGTATGTAAATTATGCCACAACTGACTAAAAAAATGCAGGTATCTTGTGCAGCAAGCCCTCCCTGCCCGGCCTTTTGCTGCCAGCATCCTGGGTCACAGGCAAATCCTGATTCATTTCAGGCAAATGTGCTAATCTTATTTCCCTCACCAGTGACTGGCTTATGGGTAGGCAGGTGACCTAGTCCTGGCCCATGACATGTGAGGGGAGGGCTGCTGAGGGTGCGCCTGGGAAAGGTTTCCTTGCTCTTATGAGGCACCAACTGAGAGGAGCCTTTTCTGCATCTGGATATGGATGTGATGCCGGGAACTGCTGCAGCCAGCTTGCCACCAGCCCAAGGATGGAGCTGGTTTAGGGGCCGAGAACAGAGCCCAGAGAACTGCAGAGAAGCAGAGCTGGACACCTGGCCTCCTCCACCTGGAGCCAACCCTACCCACGGCCTTTCTCATCGAAGTTTAAGCCAGACGCCAGCAAACTGTGATTCCTGGGTCAAACCTGTCAGTGAAGTTGTACTGGAACGTGGCCGTGGCCAAGCATTTACACACTGTCTGGGGCTGCTTTTGGGCCACAATGGCAGTGCAGAGTTGAAGAGTCGCGACAGGGACTGTGTGACCCACGATCCCCAAACACTTGTCAAAATCTGCTTCACTTCTGTGTCTATAATCCAGGTGGACATGGATTTCAGGGGGTCACTGGTCAACTCCGTACACCCTCCCAACCCCAGGGACTTCATTCAGGTGATCTTAGCTCCTGTGGGTGGAATGTTCCTAACCATTTCCAGTTTAGCGCTGCCCAGTTTCAATAGATCTTTGCTAAAAAAAAACAACTCTTGAATTTTTAAAATATGCCTCAATGTATCTTTTAACAATATGTATATAGCTATCTGTATATAAATGCATATGTGTATATAATACGTAAAGTATATTACACACAAATTATACATGTCATATATACAGAGGTGGGCGAAAGTAGGTTTACAGTTGTGAGTATGCAAAAACAGTTTATTCTTGTATTATTGTTGATTTATTATTGTGTGATTTGTCTTATTATTATTGTAATTTCACATCCTCACTTATGATTTATCTTTTAGGTAATGATGGCTGGTAATTTAACCTACTTTTGTGCACCCCTATATTATAAGAAATTTGCATTTTTTTAAAAAAATGTTGCCTTTGGATGCCGTTACGTGGGGCACGAACTCTCCGGTTCCCCAGTCTTCACCCTCCCTTCTGCCTTCAGCTGGGCTCCTCACACGTTTACAACACCTGAAGGACCCTGAGAGCATCTGAGGTCTTCATCCCTGTCTTAGGCCAACGTTTGTTGCTTCCTTCCTTGTGGGACACAGAAAAAGCCCCTTGGGTCAGCCCAAGTGCTCAGGCCGGGGCCGGGGCTTGAAGGTCACCGCCTCATTTAGGTCCCCAGATGGGTGCTTGTGCCGGGGAGAGGCCCAGGTGACACGGCCCTGCCCGCAGAGCTCCGAGCCAGGACAGCAGGACTCACCTCCGCCATCTCGATTTTCCCATCCGAGTTCTTGTCATACTTCTGCATGAACGCCTTCATCTTCTCCCCCAAGCTGTCACTCTTGGACGTCTGCGGAAAGACAGAGGAGGCTGATTTTGCCACTGGGTCCCCCATGAGGAGCCTGTCCGTTCTACCCACAAACGGAAGCCGAGATGAAGTGACTTCTCTTGGAGCCGACCAGTTAGGACAGACAGACTATGAACTCACGGCTCCTGCTTCCAAGGCCAGCATTCTTTCTACCACATAACAGCTGCTCTGTGGACTTGAAAGGACTTCAACCAGCCTGAGAGGGTGTCAGTTGAGACTGTAGTTGACAGACTTGAAAACCACCCCTGATGCCATCTGAGGAAGGAGGTCAGATTTGGGGCCCTTCATAAAACACATTCCTCCACCGACAGACACCACGATCCCAGAATCAGCTGTGGGGCCCGTGTTGTCTCTGATCCAGGCCTCATTATCTTGGGAACGAGGGGTGATGGGGAAGCTGGTGACAAACCCTTGCATCGCCTCCATCGCATAAGCCCATTGCCTGGCCCTCCTCCTCACGGGAGCGCTCTGCTGAGCTTTGACCCAGGAGCTCAGTGGTGGATTTGTGACTCATCACCAGACCTGCTCCACAAACACTTGCTAATAAGCAGTGGACTGGCCAACAGACCCGCAGCAGGGGGCGGTAGAGAGACCCCCCCAAAGGACCCTCCAGAGCTGGGGGAGGAAGTGGGTCTGACTCCATATATCTGAGGACCAGGCCTGGTTCTAATCACCTCACCTTTCCAATCTTCCAGGCGCTCCTCCAAAACGCTTTAGTGAGTTCCACAGCACCGGGCTGGCGTGGGGAACAACATCCCTGCCATTCAGGGGCTGGGACAAGATTCGGAGTCACTGCTGGCGGCTCAGGAGGGTGGTCTGACACCTCCGCACACGAGGCCAGCCAGTACCATTGATTCAGACGCTGGTTTGGAGCAATCCCCCATTCTCCTCTAGGCCCTTGTGGAGGGTGCCAGCCTTTGTTGTTTAGGAAAGTGGTTTCTCCAGTGGGACGATTCTGCACCCCCCCCCAACCCCCCGGCAGGGGCATGTAGCAATGTCCAGGGACATTTTTGATTGTCACAACTTGGAAAGGAGCTACTGACATCTGGTGTGTAGAGCCCAGGGATGCCGCTAACCATCCTACAACACACGGGATAGTCTCCATGATAATCCTTTGTCCCTCATGAATATCCCTCAGTCCCAGACATCCAGTGATGCTGAGATATGGTACTCTTTTTAGGGAGTAGGCCATTTTTAAAAAATCCTTACAAATGAAAGAAAAACTTAAAGGGTTGAGACCGGAGCTGTCACGCTGGCTGATGGGATGCATAGCTTGCGACAATGCTTAGAGCCATGGTCAGCCCAGCTGGGATGGCTCAGTGGTTGAGCATCAACCTATGAACCAGGAGGTCATGGTTCGATTACCAGTCAGGGCACATGCCTGGGTTGCAGTCTTGATCCCCAGTCGGGGGCATACAGGAGGCAACCAATCAATGATTTTTCTCTCATCATTGATGTTTCTCTCTCTCTCTCCCTCTCCTTGAACACAATAAAAACATTTTTTTTAAAATGCAAGTGAC